GGGAATGGGCGGAGTTGGGGCGGGGCCGGGGTTGGGAAAGGGGCGGGGCCGGGGCCCCGTGGAGTGTCCTCTTTTTTTATTTTTTAAATATGGTAACCCTAATTTAGGCATGGGTGTAAGTGCTTTACTGAGTCTGGGCCTGAGGTGTGAACATCTAAACCTAACTGAGGAGTTATGTACAGTAACTCCTCAACTAATGTCATCCCGGTTAACGTTGTTTCGTTGCAGATCAATTAGAGGATGTGCTCGTTTAAAGTTGCACAATACTCCCTTATAATGTTGTTTGGCAGCCGCCTGTTTTGTCCACTGCTTACAGAAAGAGCAGCTTGTTGGAGCTAGTTGGGGCTCAGAACCAGGGTGGACCAGCAGTCCCCCTATCAGCTCCCCTAAGTTCCCTGTGGTGCAGCCGCCCAGCAGGCTACCAATTGATGGTCAGTTCAGCTGTCCCTCCCCCCCCGTGCCGTGTGCTGCTCCTGCCCTCTGCCTTGGAGCTGCTCCTTGGAGCCTCCTGCTTGCTGTGTGAGGGTGGGGGGGAAAAGAGGGGTGCTAATGTCAGGGTGTTCTCCTGCCCCCCTCCACCCTGCTCCTTTACCCCATCTCCACAGAGCAAGGGTGGGACACAACAGGGCTTAGGACAGAGGGAGGTTGCTAGCAGCAGCTGCTGTCTCAACTTGCTGCTCTACTTAAAAAGGCAGTGTACTTAGAGTGGGGCCAGCGTACTTAAAGGGGCAATGCGCATCTCTCTCTCACCCACACGGGGGGGGTCTGTGTCTCTCTCTCTCTCTCTCTCTCTCTCTCTCTCTCTCTCTACTCACACACACACACACACACACACACACACACACACACACACACACACACACAGAGTGTGTCTCTGTCTCTCTCTGTGTCTCCTCCCTCCATTTGTGCTGCTTTGCAGAGTGTGAGGCTACATTAAGAATGTATTAACCCTTGAGGGCTCAGCCGAGTATTAGTTCATCATTTAGCAGTAAGGCATTCCATGGGAAATATCCCACCCTCTGACTTCACCACCTCAACCAAGCTTCACAATCATCATTGTTGTGTACAGTATTAAATTGTTTAAAACTTATACTGTGTGTGTCTGTGTATAATATATAGTTTTTTGGTCTGGTGAAAAAAAAATTCCCTGGAACCTAATTCTTCCCCCACCCCCAATTTACATTAATTCTTAAGCTAATCCAATTTCCCCATAACATCATTTTGCTTAAAGTAGCATTTTTCAGGAACATAACTACAACGTTAAGTGAGGAGTTACCGTATGTTATAAAGCATGGCAATTAAAAACAAAAAAGACACAATTTGGGGCAACCCAGTTATTGTTGCATTAAGGCTGTTTTAAATCAGGAAAAATGTAATATTCTAGATCAACATTAATTAGCACTTCATATAGCCTGTATATTTTTTATACACAACAAACAAGAAAAAAATCTTATGTACAATAAAGATAACACTAAGATTAAAACATGACAAACTGAATGTATAACATAATTTATCTTCTGCATTTATTGTAATTGAAACTTAACCCTTCTAATTTGCCTGATTTAAGAACATTCAATAATTGTAAACGTCCATGATGTTTTTTTATCCTTGTTTACTAGTATCTTAAGTGTGGGTTTGTCCTTTGCTATACGTCTCTCTTAAATGCAATAATCCTCTTAATGCCAATTTTGTGATCTATTCAGAATGTTCCTGTCAGGCTAACAAATTCTTTTAGAATTTGTAAGTGTCTTGTATATTTGTGTGTTCAAAATTGATGATGGACTTTTCTCTTGAATGAGATTTCCCCCCCCCCCCTTTTATATAAAGGATTCTAAGTTTACTCTAACAGTGTTTCCTGTATGGGCTATTGTTGCTGTGATTGAAAAAAGCAACATTTACATAGAATCCTAGAATATCAGGGTTGGAAGGGACCTCAGGAGGTCATCTAGTCCAACCCCCTGCTCAAAGCAGGACCAATCCCCAGACAGATTTTTTGCCCCAGATCCCTAAATGGGCCCACTCAAGGATTTAATTCACAACCTTGGGTTTAGGAGGCCAATGCTCAAACCACTGAGATCTTTTGTATTACTTGTAATTTCAAAATGTATCCAAATAAACAGCCAGGATTTTAAGATTACTCTTATTACAATCAGACATAATTTTCTCCAAAAGAGTTTGCGAAACAATTTTTATTTATTATCTAATAGTTAATTGCAAGACTATATTAACTAGGTAATGTTGTATAAAAGCATCACTTAAGATGAATTACAATAGTCATAGTGTTGCTCTGTCACATTATTTATGTGCATGATAAAGAGTGCTAGTGATTTAAGAAGCCAGTGAAATGTGACTGGGGATTTTGTGGTTCTGTGAGGTTTTTCACCCTCTCTGTCAAAGATTTAATAAAGCATCAGGGTAATTGAACTTCATTGTCTGGTGATTCTTTTCCCAAACCATCAGCTGCCTGGTATAAAGTGCAATGATTTTGGTGCATATATCCTTGTGGTATCTACCACTCGTGGTAGGGAAGAAACTTGAGCTGGTTGTAATGAATATACCGGTAATAGGGATTCTTTATTGAAGCTGTTGGACAAAGATCCTGTAGTTCTCCTTTGGTCGAGCCACTACCTCAAATACAGCCTGTGCTGCCTTGTCTTATCATACAGCAGAGGCTCTCAAACTTCATTGCACCACGTCCCCCTCTGACAAAACCCAAGCCCCACCACCTAGGTGGAGGGGGGCAAAGCCAAAGCTCAAGAGCTTCAGCCCCAGGCAGGGAGCCTGTAACCTGAACCCCGCTGCCCAGGGCTGAAGTCCTTGGGCTTCAGTCCCAGGCAGTGGGACTCGGGCTTCAGTCCTGGGCCCTAGCAAGTCTAAGCCAGCCCTGGCGACCCCATTAAAATGGAGTCCCAACCCACTTTGGGGACCTGACCCACAGTTTGAGAACTGCTGTCAGAGGGTTTTCTTAAGGCTCGGCTAGGACTAATGAGTCATGCAAAGGATTATGGCTGGTCATGTTGGCCTTGGTTTAAAATGCTCCAAGGAAGTTGCCACTGCTATTCGTGGGGCAATCATCTTGGCTAAACTATCCATCGTACCAGTACGACGAGGCTATTGGGGTAACAAGATTGGCAAGCCTCATACTGTACCTTGCAAGGTTACTGGTCGTTGTGGGTCTGTTCTGGTGCATCTGATCCCAGCACCCCGTGGTACAGGAATTGTATCTGCCCCTGTTCCAAAGAAACTGCTGATGATGGCTGGAATTGATGACTGCTATACTTCAGCTGGGGGTTGTACTGCTACCCTGGGCAACTTTGCTAAAGCCACCTTTGATGCGATCTCCAAGACCTACAGTTATCTGACCCCTGACCTCTGGAAGGAGACTGTGTTCACCAAGTCTCCTTATCAGGAATTCACTGATCATCTGGCTAAGACCCACACCAGAGTTTCAGTGCAGAGAACCCAAGCAGCTGCTGTGGCAACTACTTAAATGTTTTTGTACAAAATAAAGTGATAAGGGGGGGGGGAATCATACTTTTGTGTTTGTTTGTTTTTCTTGTGTGAATTTAAGGAAACTTTTCACAAGTCAAGCTTTGGGTCTGTGCCTAAACTGGGCCTTGAGCAGCCATAGCCATCCTGTTCTGTCTCGGTTTTTCCAATGCTGGTGCTGCCTAAAATTACATCAACTATGCTTGCCAGTCACCAAAAGGTGATTCCCTTCCAATGCTGTCCATAATACAAATGGTCACAGCAGCAGCCACTTTGCTATTGCTTCCCTGCCTTTTTACCTTGCACTGCTGAAGTCATTTTAAAAACGTAACAGGTGAGATCAAATATAAGGAGCACTGTTGACTATTTGATCTTTTTTTCTAGTTAAGACTAATTTAGTTAGGGCTTAGCTAACATGTGGTAGCTAAGGTCAACCTAAACTCAACCTCTTTTTCTAGTTGGCCAGGTGAAATGAAATCTTGCACTCAGTGGGGTGGCATTTTCTATGCTTGTCTGCAATGCAATAATGTTTGGATGCTGCATTTGATCAACTCCAAACTTTCAGGGACTGTTGCAGATATCAGTGGACAGAACCCTATTGCTTTGGATGAAAATCAAAAAACCAGCAGGGAGAAATGGGGGGTGCACAGATCCTCTGGCATCTTGTTAGCAGGTTGAGCATCTTCAACCAACGACTGTGCCTGTAGATCAAAGAACCAGCTGGTGTCAGCTTTCCAGCATAGCAATACCCCAATCTCAGCTCTGCTGCTGTTCCTAGTACAGTTTAAACATATTGACACCCTGAATTACTTATCTCCCAGAGAGAAAGAAAAAGAATGGGTTGGAGGTGGAGGGCTGGGGCGTACATACACAGTCCTTGGCATAGGCAGGGGGGCCCATGGAAACCCAAGGGAAGGGGGAATGAGGGATACACAGAAGGAGGAAGAATGAGGAGCACATAGCTCCTGGCATGGAGGATAATGGCATGGAGGGCACACAGAGATCCTGCATGGGAGGAATGGGGGACAATAGTATGGGGGAGGGGGAAATAGGGAGGCACGCTAAGCCCTTGCCATGCTGAGGATGGGGGAATAGTGAGCATGGGGAGAATGTGGACACACAGTGCCCCATGCATGCGGGCCAGGGGAACTATGGGTAAACAGCTGCCGGTGTGGGAGGAAGAATGGGGGACAGACAAAGACCCTGGCTTGAAGGGAAGGGGGACATGGAGACCCTGGCATGAGGGAAGGGATGAAGGGGTTGAAGAGAGTCCCTACAACAGAGGGGAGGGGAGGGTGGCACAGAGGGAACTTGTGGCTGGGAAGAGAGAAATGCAAGGACCCTCCAGTGTGTGCAAAGTGCTCAGCCTAGGGAAGCAACAAAATGTGCAACCCTCTCATTGTGAGTGTCCCAATGCATAGTATTTTTCTTAAAGCTCCAGCTCCTAGGAGCAAATTCTTAGGTGTGAATCAAGGTTACTTTTTTCTTAATGAATGTTTCTAGCCTATCTGGTTGTAGAGGAAATCTTGAAAACATTATCGAAATGCACCCTAAAGTCTTAGGCCAGAGCTATACACAAAACTTTTGCCAATATGGTAATACGGGTGGGGGCGGGTGGGTGATTTTTTTATGACATTTTTATACTGTATCTGCAAAAGCTCTAGTGTAACTTGTTTTGCTGGGGGAATCAGTAAAAGCTATACTAGCAATTTGCAAGTATAAACTATGTCTGCACTAGGAGGGTTTGCCAGTGTAGCGATACTGGTATAAAAACACATGCAACCCATTTCTAGTCTAGATTAGGGTCAGATTTACACTTGGATCTGGTCTATACTAGAAAGCCTTATTAGCATAACTGTTGGTTAGGAGTGTGAAAACAATCACACTGCTAACTGACATAGCTATGCTGGCAAAAGCCCTAACGCTGATGCAGTTGTACTGGCAAAAATGTTCTCTTGCTGGTATAGCTTAGTTTTGATTTAAGTTATACCAGCAAAAGCACTGTATAAACTGCATCTGAACTAGGGGGATTTGCTGACATAGCTCTACTGTTATAGCATACCTGTAAAGCACTCCTAGTGTGGACTCAGTATATACTTCCAAATCTGCACTTTGGCATGGATAACTTATTATGGATAGTTTCTTCCCACTGAAATAAACTATACTGTCAAAAGCACTGTTTTGCCAGAATAACTGTGTCTACCCTAGGTGCTATTCCCGGCACAGCTATGTTGGTCAGAGATCACACCCCGTGCCTGATATAGATGTGAAAGCAAAACTTTGTAGTGCAGACCTAGCCTAGACCTGAGAAATCAGCAGGCAAATAACTAGAATCCAGGACATAGCATCTGTTAAAAGGTAATGATTTTTTTAAACCACACGTGATATTCTGGTGGCTCAGCACTTGTGAGCTGGCAGTAT